TATATATATATATATATATATATATATAGAACTGTGTATAAAGGTGTGTGAATATAGAAGCGAAATATTATATACATGTACAGGTATGATGGCGTAACAATGTTGATATAATGACTGTAAGGAGTTGTAGAAGGGAAAAATAATAAAAAAAATCTGCTAAAAATAAAATATTCACTATAGGAAACATAAAAAATAAATAAATAAGGAGGTTCTTTAAAGCTTAAATATGTTCCCAAGAATCTAAATTTATTTTTGCTTAGAGGATTTTGTTTCCATATTAACAGCCGGCTTTTTTCTAATGTTACTATAGCCCACCTAAAGTATTCATACAAACCTTGAATCGGATCCCCAATGCATAGCATAGATTTTGGCTAAATGACCCCTCAAGGTACGCCTTGTACGCATCTGGATTCGACCCACGGAGTCAAGACTCGTGGTGATCTGAGAAAGAGGAAGGACAAGAGGCTTTTCAAAACCTTCTCCTGGACCCGCATAAGAATATATGACAACTGAATATAAAAAAATAACTTAACAGTATACAATGCTAAGTCGTTATATCTGTCATGCACCGTTTCTTTATTTGAAGAGTCTGCTGATGCTAAGCTATGGTATGAGAAGTTTGGGGTTTTGCATAACGTACCAACCCATTCTTCGTGACCTGGTATAATATTCAAATCTGGCCAATAACAGATGGCTCCATAAACCATTATATTAAAAATAGGGCTTAATGTACTCGAATGGAACTAAGCTTGAGGAAATGGTTACAGTCTAAGAAGCCATGAATGCTATTTTGATTTACCGGATCCTTTTCTCAAGCTCCTTTAAACTATTGTGGAAACTTACTAGCAGGCCTTTAGACTAGAGTCAATGCCGAATAGAGATCAAAACCACTGTCTTTTTCTTAGCCAAGGAACTTCTACTAAACTGCAGACTCCGCGCATCCATTTTAGATGCTGTTAACTGCCTTAGAAAGCAGAGCAGAAAGCAAAAGCAAATGGCAACCCACCTGAGCAAGAGTTGTGTCACTGCATGCTTTTCTTGCATCCTTTAAAATAAAATTTAAATGATTACTTTACATAACAATGGCTGGAAGAAGTTTTGCATTCTTACCAAATTAGTGCATTTATTAAGGGAGGGAGAGATTCATTCTAGCAGGCTACATCTGGCAAGGAGTCAGCAATCTGCGGCTCTGGAGCTGCATGTGGCTCTTTCATCCCTCTGCTGCAGCTCCCTGTTGCTACTCAGCCCCGCAATTGATAAAGCTTTAGGTTAGGACAGGTAGAGGAAAAAGGATGGTGCGCTAGGAGGAGACTCTGTGGTGGTGGGGGGGGATTGGACTTCCGGTCAGCAGAGGAAAAAGGATGCTGCGTTAGGAGACTCTATGGTTGGCGGGGGGTGGGGAGAAAGGGAGTGGACTTCGGGTCGGCAGAGGAAAAAGATGCCGCGCTAGGAGAAGACTCTATGGTGGGGGAAATGGACTTCCGGTTGGTTCCAGAATTGAATGGAGGTTAATGGAGGTCTCCAGTTAAGATCTTTGTGGCTCTTTGAGTGCTTAAGGTTGCCAAGCCCTGCATTAGGCAAAAGGTTCACATATAGTAGACTCTCTGGCTGCAAATACCTCAAAAAGAATGTATAAGATTTCAGGAGTCAATCCTGAATCCAAAGATCCATCCAATGGGGCCCTGGGCCCTGAAGCACAGTCGCTTTCAAGACTCCTTCATCCACCCAGGGACAACATCGTAAAAGGAAGGTGGTTATGGAGAAAATTGCAGAGGGGCAGATAAAATGTCTCCCTGTCCTTTCATAAAAAGATCTTCCTGGGTTACCATGAAATGATGTTAGAAAGACGTATCTTACTCTGATTTGATTCCGGAGCTGTTCTGCCTCCTGCCGTAACTGTTCCAGTTCACTCATTCTCTTGAATGGGTCTCTTCTCGCCTCTTATAGTACAAGTGATGGGAAATCTGCTAAAAACAATTTACAGAAACCAACTTGAATCATGTGCCTGTAATTAACAACATCAACATTTAGAGCATTTACAGTCAACCCATCATTACTGCATTCTCCTCGGGCTACCTATGGCCCCCAAGTGTCTGGAGTGGGGACTCCAGAGTTTCCCTAAAGTTGCAGCATTAACCAGGCATTGATGATAGGCAATAGCAACATTATAAAATACATGGGATTAAATCGTATTAATTACATTTAATTCATTTAAAACAATTTTAATTTAAAATCTAATCTAAGAATTTTTTTGGGGGCCCCACCAATTTGTCTTTCCCTCTCCTAGTTTTCTAGTGTGAAGCCAGCACATTAACAGCTTGGGGGAGGGAAAACATGCACTCTGATAATCTACACTACGGAACACGTTTTAATGGCTTAAACCGTGTGTGTAATCTCAGTATCATCCCTGCAAAAGAAAGTAATTGGGGCGGTGTGTGTGTGGGGGAAACACGGTTAGAAACTTAGACAAACAGAAAATCTTCACTACCTCCATGTTACCTCAGTGTGATAATGTAGTGCAACATTTCAGAAAGGATGAGACTAAAAGGTAATTACAAGAAAATAATTTCCTCCTTACTTTTAAAGTATTTGAAATATTAAATAATAAGACGACTGACGGGAGAGATGCCGACGATAGGGGGCTTGATTGATACTTTAAAAAAAACAACCTTAAAGGCATGTCTTACAGCACAGGTGTCAAACCTGTCACATTACCATCATGTGATGTTTCATGAGGGTTCCCCCCCCCCTTTTGCAGAGCTGGGGTGGCCTGTGCATGATGCCCCTGGCTTGCAGGCTGCCAGTTTGAGACCCCTGTCTTAGAGTAAGTGAATGAGGAATATTCATACAGTAATCTATGCAGGTAAATTTCGCTTGTTGACTGCTTGGGTAGCAACCATGCAAAGGTATGACGGTATTGGAAAAGTAACATTGCAAGCAAGGGTCACATTTCTCCCAGTCACACAATCACTATTAGTTAGTGTGCATGTTATCCTGTGCCCAACACCCTTCCCCCACCCCCTACTGACCCACAGAGTGCGGAGAGATTGCCGAAACAAGCAAATTCTTCCTGAACTGTTTTTATCCCCAGTGCAGCACTTCCCCAAAGGATGCTAACCTCCAGTTAAAAACCTCAGGAATTGACAAGGCAGGCATTGGGGATGGTCTATGATGGGAGTACGTGGGCACGCAAATTCTATTTGTCTTGGCTGTGTGAAGCTGGCGTTGTGGAGGCTGCTAGTTTGGAAGTTCAGAGCAGGGCAGCCCCTTCTGAAATAGCCTCCAGCAAAATGAAATCAGAGTTGTCTGACCACTTGGTGAAGATGGAAATGTGGCTGGATTTGTGGGCTTGAAGATGCTGCTTTTGACAGGAATTGCAGTAGAGCAGGCATGTCAAACTCAAGGCCCGGGGACCGGATCTGGCCCATAGGGTGCTTATATCTAGTCTACAGCCCCCTCCCCCCCCGGAAACAACAAAGACTGGCCAGCAATGCCTCTGCCAGCAAAAACCCTCCCAACCTCCGTTTTCACTGGCAGAGGGTTTGGTTTATGGTTTATTAAACTTGTATGCCGCCCTATTCCCCGGGGGGACTCAGGGCGGCTAACAAACTCA